CCGTCTTGTCGCGACGCTGGGTCCACCCAAATTGGGCAAAAGTCGCCCTAGGGCAGACGCAGCGCCGACCAGCTTTTCAAGCAAGCTGCCGGAAGTGCTCGTCGAAAAGCCACCTCCCGTCGACGATCAGGCCCAGATATTTCATCTGGGCCCGAACCGGTACGAGGACCGAGTTGACCACGATTGAGGCGCCAGGGGGTGGACCACGACGGGGCCCATGAAATAACAGGGCCTCCGTCTTATCTAGGGCCACCCGTAAGCCCAGCGCCTCAATGCGCCCGACCACCAGGGAGACTCCCCTTGTGGCCAGGCGCGCCGCCTCTTGGAAGTTTGCCCCTCGGGCTGTCACCAGGGTATCGTCTGCGTAACAGATTACACCCAGCCCGGGGGGGAAATCGGCGCGAAGGGCCCAGCCGTACCCTATGTTCCACAAGAGGGGTCCAAGAACAGACGCCTGTGGAACACCGCACGACATGGGCCGACACCTCAAATTACCATCTCGGTCCTCGTACACGACGGTACGCTCCTCTAAATAGTCTGCCACTAGCCGCCTCAGGTACTTTGGCACCCCATAATAGTGGAGTGCTTCCCTGATGCAGCTGAATGGCAGACTATTGAATGCGTTGGCGATGTCCAATGACACCGCCAACAGCACGCCGCCACAGCTCACAGCCTCTTCGGTCACGGCCCTCAGGCGCAAAATTGCGTCGACTGTCGAACGCCCCGCCCGAAAACCAAATTGGGCGTCCGACAGATCGGGGCCCACCTCGTAGAGGTGCCGGACGATGCGGGCAGAGAGAACCCTCTCAAACAATTTACCCGCCTCGTCCAGCAGCACGATGGGCCTGTAGGCCGCGACCGAATCGGCAGGCCGTCCGGGCTTCCTTAATAGGACCAGCTTCCCGCTCTTCCAGCACTCAGGGAAACGTCCCGACGCCAAGCTGGCGTCGAACACCTCCCCGAGGCGGTCTGCCATGTGGTTGAGGGCTAGGGCCAGCACTCGGGCCGGTACCCCGTCTGGCCCAGGGGCGGTGTTCTTGGAACGGATCCGTAGAATAGCCGCCCCTACCTCCGAATCCCGGACTTGCCGAAGATCATCCTCATCGTGCTCCCCGCCGTCTCCGGCCAAGGAGGCCATCGCCGGGGGAGTGTGTTCCGCTCGTTGCGGGAAAAGGCCCTCAACCACTTCTCGCAGGAAGCTGGGCTGGAGAGTCTCCGTAAGGGGGGGGGCCGACGCGCGGAGCTTTTGTCGCACCGCGCGATAAGGGCGACCCCAGGGGTCACGATCGAGACCCTCCAGCATCTCCTTTCTCTTTATCTCTTTGGCGCGGCTAATGGCCAGCTTCAGAGTTTTCCGCGCCTCTCGGTACTCCTCATGAAGCCGGTCCTCCTCACCGTCTCCACGGTGACGCCGCCGACTGCGCGTGTAGGACCTCCGGGCACGTGTACAGGCCGCACGGAGGTCCGCCAGCTCCTGGGACCGCCAGTAGACCTCCTTCCTTAGAGGCCGACGACCTCGAATGCGGGGCATGGCCGCATCGCAGACATGCGTAATCGCATCGCGAAAGCGACCAGCCCCCATGTCGGCTGACAGCCACGAGTGAATTATGGCTGCCTCCTCTAGTAGGTCCAGACGAACTTGACACAAACCCTATACCAACCCGTCTGGCCAGCGTGGTATAGTAGGCCAAAACCTCCTTTCTAAGGAGAGGCCTATGTCCAGCAGTGGACTGTATAGGCTGTTGAAAATGATGATTTTGATACTGAAAAGAAAAGCGGATATGAAGGAAAGGCAAAAGGGATTTTGCCTTTCCTTCATATACTGTAACTGCCAATGCGTTGGCAAAGATGCGTCGATTGCATGGCTGATTACTTCGAATAACAGAAATAAAAAGTTTGAAAAAATAAGTACTTTCACTTATTGCATACAAAACGGCTATTTCATAGGTAAAGACCTAATATATATATACAAGAGTTGCTCGTTTAAAGGTATTAGATAGATGAAAGTAATCTAAGAACTCTGCTGTTTACCTTCAAATAACTCTTCAAATGTTTTGTTGCTTTAACCTTTTCATTTTATTACAATAGTACGTACCTCTACCGCATATGCGTCGCATGACCCAAGCTATTTACAGGTGAGGGTTAAAAAACTAAATAATATTGATTACTGCTTACGAGTACAGCTCCACTGCTTGTGTAACTTTTATTTGTTACGCGATTTATTTTTATTCGATGATTTGTTTTCTTCGACAGCAAATTTGTTCTGAACTTACTTTCTGAATAAATGAATAGGAATATAAAAGTAGGTGTCATATTTGTCTTCACTTCTGTTATATTTAAAATGCCAAAGTGTCTAAGGAATCAATATAATCGTGGCTTTAGTTGTAAAAGCAACGGTGCCTACCGCAAACGATTTTAAGACGTTTCTTTTGAAGTCATTATTTTACCTTTCCTATCAACAAACAGTCATTTTCCTATCTAATTTTTAAAGAGCCCCAGTATAGTGAGACTAAAATTAAAGCTAGCAAAATTAAAGCTAGCAAAAGTATTAAGATTTTTTTTGTACATAAGTTTTGTACTTAATTTTATTATGGCCCTGTTGTCCAGCGCATTTTCCACTGCGTCTCTCAAAAGGAATACATTTTCCTACAATGCTACATGGTCTACCACCAATAGGAGACGAGCCTATAGCTTACCTCGATAAACGGGCTATCGAACACTTAAGGAATTTTTGATTTCAGACCAGTAGTCCCTGAGATTAGTGCGTTCAACCAAACAAACAAATTATTCAGCTTCAAAATATTAGTTTAGATTATTTCATTGTAGAAGCTAAGAGGTGTATATCATTAAAATGATTCGTCATTGCTTTAATAACGGTAACTGTAGAATTATTGATAGTACGCTGTAAACTACGAATAATAATTTCTCGTAGTTATTCGTAGGTTGTAAAAGTATAATGAAAGGACAATTCTACACGCACGACATTACGATTTATCGTGGAATTCAATGGAAAACTAAACATACATCGAGCAATTTATGCGACATGTGTGTCTAGTTATGTATTTATACCTTAAAAACAGGGGTACAGCAATTGTAATAAAGTGTATGTATGTAGTACACACACACATATACACACAAAAAGGTTTGTGGAGTGTTACACAGACAGTCAGTATCGCAAATTTACAATTATTTTTATATTAGTAGATATACGTCTCCCTATGCCATCTATTAGCGTATTACATAACTATGAGAACTACATAAATGTATCTCTTAAATGTGAATACTTTATATACATATATGTATGTATGATTTATTCTAAAAGACAGTATCAAACTCAAAATTAAAATTGGACATAATTTACAAATTATAATTATATGCTACTGATTTTATAGTTACGGATTCATGAAATTCTGAGCCTATTTACATTTTACTTGTTTGCGGATAGTTTCAGAAAAACCCACACATTCGATGATACTTTATCGGTGAATTTAAGTTTAATATTCCAGTTTCAAAATATCATTTTTTAAGTTAAAAATCACGACCATTCAATGGATTTACTATACGACCTTTAAATCTAGTTTGCATTACATAAGAACTCTTTACTGATCTATTTTTGAACTGAACACTAAAAATAACCATAGACTATTATCTTTTCGCGTGTAGTTGATCAACCTACTTTTGTAGTTATAAATAACGCTGTAAACTTGAAGGTTTGATCTTCCGTGACAGAAGGGGCATGAGACCATTAATCAAACTATCTGCATAGAATGGAGAAGGGGGGTTTAACTGCTTGTAACGGTTGGCCTTTACCTTTAACCTTTAAGGCTTTGTAGTTTTGCGCATGGTTGGTAATCAGTGGGTGGGTAGGAGGGCTGGTTGTTACAGTGGGAATACGTATGTTATAATTTACTAGTATGTCAAATTATAGTTGGTAAAATCTTTGACAAGTACTTTGACTTAACACACGAAATAACTAAAAATTGATATTTCGTTGTGTTCAGTGGAAGTGGGTGCGAGGGGTATACCAGCTAAATCCCTCTAAAAACTACTTAAAGACCTTGGATTGCCAAGAGCTTCAAGAAGTTCTTTTCTTGAACGAATATCCAAAGCGGCATTGCTATATCAAATATGTATCAAATATGTGTCAAATATGGTTAGGTAGAGGGGGTAACACAGCAGACAGTGTAGTCGCAAGAAGTACTCCTAGGTCGCAATTGCCAGGCGCTGTCAAAGTCGCATGTGTTGCCCCCATCTATCACGCGATGGACCCGGCAATGAATCCACGGAACGCAAATATAGCCGTGAGTGACGTAAGTGTTTAAGTGAAAAAAGTCTTTTGCGTGAAACTCTTTGTATAGAAAAAGTAAGCAGAGGTATTTTAATACGCTTAAACTGCAGGAGTAAGCTAGGGACGGGTAGGTGAAGCTCCATGGCCGGTAGTGATAGTTGTCTTACCGCGGTCGCATCCTTCTGCGAAGATGTTATCTCGCAGAAGGAGGCGGCGGAGAGGGCTCGGGAGGATAATTTCCACTCGGACTCAATTCGTCGCCGACGATCGGGGCGGCGGAGGTGCGCTTATCAGCGCCTCATGCCGCCCTGAGTGTGGCCGCGTCATAACAGCCATCCGCAAGGAGGCGACGTCCGTGTGTGCCGGACGTCTCCTAAATAGAGAATATACCCGAAAGTGGTGCCCGCGCCGTTGCGGGCAGGCGCTAGGAGGGGTCCGGATGTCTTAATATCAGCTGTTCTCAGACTTCCTATTTGAGGCCCAGAGTGGCACACCGTGTGGTTTTAGTCAGTTCGACTCCGATAATCCATGCTATCACACAATGGGTTGTCGGCCCAAGGGCTTCCCACACGTAAAAAAAAGTGACGGGTTAGTGGAATATACAATTACAGGTGATTTTTCGTCACTCAGGTTTCTCCATTGTTTCTGTTCAACAACAACAACTAACAACAACAACAGTAACTAACAGATATCTATCGCTATACATGTCCAGGTCCGGGGGAGAGCTACACAGACTACGTGGCGACGCGGTGGTACCGCGCCCCAGAACTTCTAGTAGGAGATACCATGTATAGCACACCAGTAGATGTGTGGGCTATTGGTAAGTTGTCATCTTCTGTAAATACATCTCGTCATGTATCCCTGACTGATCTAATTATATTACCGCCTTTGTTATAACAATAAATACATACACACATACTCGTACATATTACATACATATACACATACATACACATACATATTTGGTAAAACAATTGTCTGAGTAGATTAAGCCGAATCTCTTTTTTATGATATATGAGCAAACGCAGTGACAGATGATGATGATAGGGAAAACTTGCAGACGTCACCTGATGGTAAGTGATTACCGTCGCCTATCGACACCTACGACTTAAATGTCACAAGTGAGTTGCCATCCTTTGAGACCACCAGAAACACGGAGGGCTCTTTACTGATCCGGGAACCTCTCTCCCTCTGTGAAAAGCACATTTAGGCCAAAGCGCGGCTATTAATGCTTGTTTTGACTTTTGAGTGCAAGGGCTTTACATTTGACCAGTGCAGTATTTACCCAAGGGCCAAGGACATGTGCCCGAGGCGGTAAGTGGGTTATTTGACCTAATGCTTATGATCCACTAACTTTTTCAGTTTTACCTTTCAGTTTAACTTCACTCTAAAACTTCGTCTCGTCTGATATATGAGGCTGATCTGTATTGAAATATATTTAAATCAAGTATACGTTAAAGAAATACATTTGTTTTCAGGGTGTGTGTTTGCTGAGCTCCTGTCTGGCGAGGCGTTATGGCCAGGCAAAAGCGACCTTGACCAATTGTATCTTATTAGAAAAACCCTCGGAGATTTACTACCCAGGCATATGACAATATTGTCGCAGAACTCATTTTTTCAAGTAAGTTTGTCATCCACTGTCACTCTCTTGACTACCAATAAACTGATTCTAAAGATCCTATTCTAAACAAGTATTGGTTCTCTGAGATTTATAGGCCAATCAGCAAGACAGAGATCATCATAATATTCGACATAATTTTAGGTTTTTTACTAATCACTCCTACAGACCCACCACTGTAACTCACCAGGATCAACAGCAATGATTCACAAACACACCGAGTTTTGACACTCGGGTAGTCCCAGGAAAAAAAAAACTGTCTTGGAACCCGCAACGAAATTAATCAGAAGAAAATTGGAGGAGTTGGAAGTATAATGAATCCACTCCTTAGCAAAGCGGGAGGTAATTTTAGGTTTATCAGATGGACCTGTATTGACTCCATTCGCTTATTGGAAACCATGAATATTATACTTAGCTACACACTTAAAATCCGTGTAGTGAGGGATTAAGAATACGGAGTGTCACCACCCCTATTCATCCCTTGGGTGTCGTAAGAGCCGACTAAGGGAGCAAATTTCGCAGGACACCACCACTGCATAGAGAAGGAAAGCTTGACATAAACCCTATACCATCTCGTCTGGCCAGCGTGGTATAGTAGGCCGAAACCACCTTTTTAAGGAGAGGCCTATGTCCAGCAGTGGACTATTAAAAGCTGTTGATGATGATGATGACACACTTAAAATTACTTGCCCGACTACGAACGAGCTACAAACTACTCCTAAGAAAGGATTTTTGGAAGCTTTACTCCAAAGGTGACGAGGAGACGGATTAAAAATACGGATTGTCGCCACCCCTATTCATCCCGTGGGTGTCGTAAGAGCCGACTAAGGACTTTATAAGAGTATACTTTTCAGTTGCACATTGCTTTCGACTAGGTTACCCTGGTCTTGGTCACGGGCCGCCTGTGGTCACGGCCAATGCATATAAATAATTATACATACAGATGAGTATTTAGGTTTCTCGTGTTAACTGGTGTTGCTAACAAAAAAAAAACACAATCGCTGTTTGCTTCGGCCTAATCATGACAATTAAATAACCATTTTTTTTTACCAGGGAATGGTGTTGCCAGAACCTACTATGTTGGAGCCATTGGAGAGGAAAATACCGAATAGATATAGCACCAATGAACTGGTGTTAGATTTTTTGAATGTAAGTGTTTTGTAACTTAGGAATGCAAGTAGAACAGTTGTACTAACATTTGTTTTAAGCACAGTTAGTTCGAATTACAGGCATTGGTTACACTCCCCAATACCAACTTACCTTCCCATTTTACCAACTTTTCCATTCATATTGAATTCTCAACCTACTCAAACAAAAAATATTTTTATTTCATAAAATTGTTTGAAATCGTCTTTTATGTAGACTCGAAAGTCATAGATCCAACATACACAATAGCAACGATCTCTTATACTCATAATTCCTAAAGCAATAGGTCAACGGCAATGGGCTTGCCTATTAGGTAAGTGGTATCCTAACTGCTGTCAGTAAAACGATCCGATTTCAGTTTACCTCTTTGGGGACATAGACGTTTATTTTTAAGAGTGAAAGAAAACAATCTAATCTGGAGTAAGAAACTACGTTATTGTGGAGTGCCTATTGTTGGCTAAACTATAATCTTTCTGAATTCGATATGTTCGTGCGAATAATTTCACAAAGTGGATTCAAACCTGATGTTTCAATTGAATTCTGAATAAAACTTATTCTAGAATTTGTTATTCTTCATATTGAAATATAAGAAATAATTAAATAACTTGTGCTCATCTTATATTTACTTATTAATCTTTTTAATCATTATTTAAATTCCAGAAATGCCTTGACAAGGACCCGATGATAAGGTGGACGTGCGAACAGCTGCTCAGGCACCCTATCTTCGAAAATTTCCTGTTCACAGTGCCTCAATCTAATCACGAGGAATATGAGAAAGTCAGGAGAGCACAGGTTGGTTTGTAGTGTACACAGTGCACTTTCTATCGCTCAACATTCATAATACATATTCGAAATCCAAAATACATAACTCCATTGCGGACTAAGGAGAGACCTACGTCCAGCACTGGACTGTTAAAGGCTGTTGATAATATCGCAAACGGTCTCCCTTAGGATGCCGCAAGTGTCGGATGCGGCAATGGGACAAAAACGTGTCCAAAATCTCATGATTCTACATTACAGTTTTAATTTAGATGTTTCGTAATGTATTTATTTACTATAGCTCCCTTTAACCATTTGTTCTACCTCAATTTACTTTCCTTCTTTGTCACTACTTAAAACGATATTCCCAATGAGGGCCGCATGCCTGACCCTGAGGTGAAGCAACTGGCCGGATTTAAAAGAAAACAAGCTAAAGCCCTTAGCAATAGATTTAAGCCAACCAAATCTTTTCGACCTACAGTAGGTGGCCAAATTATTAGGGACAGTATCGAAATTTTTGAATTTCCTAGTTTAATTGGATTTCTGTAACAAACGATTAGTTGTAGGTCTCTTATATATTTTTTCTTTGTATCTGTATTCTATAAGGATCACAAAAACTACAAAAAAAATATACAAAACTGATTTATATTCTTCGTATGAGTATTATCAATATTGGTAAAAATAAATAAAATATTTTTTTATATTTAGTGATGCCACCCTTTGCTGCAATAAGAGCTTCTATGCGTCGGGGCATGCTCTCAATACATTTTTTTGCATTTTCCTGGAGTTTGGAGTTGTGATACCATTCTCTGATGAGAGTTTCAATCAATTGTCGCTTAGTGGTAATCACTTCTTTTGCGATCGCCCGTTTGGTGAGTTCCCACATGTTTTCTATTGGATTCATGTCAGGTGAATTCCCTGGCAAAGGCAAAACAGAGACATTTTTTTCAGCCAAAAATGCAGTTACACTTCTGGCTTTGTGGCACGGTGCTGAGTCATGCATAAAAATGTATTCGTCATCATCAGGGAACCATTCATTGAACTGCGGCAATAATCGCGTTTCTAGTACTCTCTTGTATTGGTCTTGTTTCATAGTCCCTTCCACAATGTATAGGCGTCCCATGCCTTTGGCTAAGATGACAGACCACACCATGACACTAACCAGGTGTTTAACCTTCTCTACAAGGCAATCAGCGTGAAATTTCTCACCAGGACGTCGTCTTATAAAATAACTTTTGTCAACCAAAATTTGGAAGGTAGATTCGTCGGAAAACACACCTGTAATTGATAGAATGAATAGTAGAATAAATAAATAAATTGTTATTGACCAATTGCATTATACAAAATAGTTACACTTACTCGACTCCAGTCTGCAATAGTCATAGATCGATGTTGCCTAGCCCATTGGAGTCGTTTCTTTTTCATACTACCGGTTAGGCGTGGTTTTTTGGCAGGCCGCACTCCCATGAGATGCTTTTCGACCAACCGCCTCCGCATTGTCCTCTCTGAAATCTTTATGCCCTCTTCGTTTATCATAGTTGTTAAACGAGCAACGCCCTTTTTACGGTTTTCGAGGCAGATGTTCCTGATTTTTCAATCGGTACGAGCTGTTGTAATCCTTTTCCTGCCACATTTTCCAGCACGATTTGCTTCAAGAGGCTTTTTATTGTCAATTTTTATTTTTATTCGATTGACGACAGACTTTGAAACCCCAGCAATAGCTGCTATGTCTTTCTGAGAATGTGTGGAGTGCAGTAACAACGTTTGTATCTCTCTACATTTTCTTGGAGACGTGTCCAAAGTCCTACCCATCCTAAAAAGCTTATAATTTTTGGTTAACGTGTTGAACCATTAATAAAATGTAAACTCATTGACAAAACGTAGCAAAACTATTCTTATATGGAGCATTACTTACCTTTTGATTAATTAAGACACAAAAGTCGGTTAAAACTAATGAAAAAATAATACCTAGACAATACAACAATAATACCGAAAACCGCGCTTTTTACGGGCAAAGAAGAAACGTCACACAATTAATAAAAAACGCACGTATTCTGTGTTGCCATTTGACAAAAACAATAATAATGATACCAGTAAATATATCAGATACAATAACCGCTTAAAAACAACATCATTTATTCAAAAAAAATATAATAAACTATAAATTACATAAATACGAGCACTGTCCCTATTAATTTGGCCACCTATGGTACTTTCACAATGCCTTCAACTTTAGTCATCAAAATTAGATAGTTTTTCTGATATGGAAAATGTTGTCGGTGTAGTGACGGATTAAGAATACGGAATGTCACTACCCCAATTCATCCCGTAGGTGTCGCATGAGCCGACTAAGGGCGCAAAACAACGCAGGACACCAGCACTGCAAAGAGAAGGAAAACTTGACACAAACCCTATGGCAACCCGTCCGGCCAGCGTGGCCAAATCCTCCTTTTTAAGGAGAGGCCTATGTCCAGCAGTGGACTATTAAAGGCTGTTGATGATGATGATGATGAAGATGTTAAAAGGTTATTGACCTATTCCGGTTTTAATTTTCCACGCGAGTAAAAACGGTCTATAAATAATAGTCTTCTAGCATGTAAATATCCCTGCAGTATGAATTCATGACACGAGGCCAGGAAACAGAAGACACGCCTCAATCACAAAACGAAACCTACACAGAAGATCAAGTGAAGAGGGGCAAAAAATGAACACGTTATAGAACTGCGCTTATGGTACAGCTGAGCCTCGAGGTGAATTATCATCCCCAAAATTATTAATTAGAAACCCATTCTTAATTCATAACAAGACAAAATATCAATTAATATATTTATACAGAGTAATATTTTATTGTATAATAGAGTGTAGCTTTATAATAACCTACTAGCAAATCTCGTAAGACGCGTAGCTTAAATCTGTATTTTAGTTGGACAATAGTTCTAAAATTTGTTTCTTTATTTGTTATCTAATAGTACACTACACTACGTACACTCTGCTTTAGTCCGAATTATAATAACTTTACCGAAATTCGGACGGGTTATCTAACAGGAATAGATTAGCTGAAATAGAAAAAATAGCTTGCGAGACACACACATGACTTCTACACATTCAACCGGAACTTCTACACATAGAAGTGCGGTCGATCAGAACTCAACAACAACAGCTTACTGCAGCGAAAAATACGCTCAGAATCTAGAAATTGATCCTGAGCAATGTTTCAACGATCGAAGGCTTTCTGATGCTTGTTCGTAATAAAGGGATTTGACAATAGTAACGACACCCCAGTGGTGGGGTTTAGTGGTGTCGTTTACAATACACGCAACGAGCAATTCATGGTGTCGTTGACAATACACGGCTTGTTGTTGCTCAGCTACAATTTATACTAATAATACAATTTCAATTCAATTTTATGAGCGTATTCTTTGCTGCAGTAAGTGCAGTAACCTGTTGTTTTGATTAAAATACATATTATATTAAATTACATATAACATTATATTAATACTTAAAACCTATACTCAAAGAAAAACGAATCTTTCCTGCACGACTACAGAAATTGCTGGTAATTTACTTTAGCTTTCTTCTAAGACTTCGACATGTAGTGAAAAAAATATTTTCAACATTGTAATCTGTAGGAGTCGTAGTTAGCATAGATGACTAACCTTGACCATGAAAATTAGGGTAATTTCCATTCATTTGAATACTACTTTATATTTTTTTGTGTGTACTGTGTGTTTTAAATTAGTCTTATACCTAATTAATAATATTAATTTTGTTCTTTTGTCGTGTAATATTGAAAATAGTTTTGTTTACTAAGTTTAAATAAATTTCAAAGAGAATAATTCACATTAAATGCGAGTGCACGACAAACATTCAACTTTATAGTTATGTTCACGGGATTTAACGCATTTGCACTAGCCGTGGTCACAATCAGCCTGTGACCACGGTCAGTGCAACCTGGTCGAAATGTAAGGCATTTCAAAGGTATGTACTTAATATCTATTGTGAGCGCGTTAATTACCGTAAACGTAATTAATAGGTATAACTAGCTTCTGCCGTTGGTTATAGCGGTTAAAAGTAACCTATGTTACTCGCTATAATGTAGTTTACCATTGGTGAAAGAATTTTCATAATCGGTTTAGTGGTTTAGGCGTAAAAGCGTAACAAGCAAACAAAGTTACTTTCACATTGTTAATATAAGTATGGATGCAACCCGATAGTTTAAAAGTTAATATCCGACTTTAATTTTGTAACGAAATGTAACGAGACTTTTTGCCGACACTTCTTGCGGAACTTCGTTCCCACCGGGGGTCCTTAGATCCTTCGCACCGTTCCTATTTATATACTGTGGAATTGTTGTCCACGGGTTTCTTTTCAGTTTAGTCGTAGGCGAGCCATGCTTCGCCACAAATGGGCCTACTCGACAGGTGTGTAATATAGCTTCACAGAAAACTGGTGTTAAGCATTACTATCATTGCTCAACTGTCCCGTTGGTGCATTAGGTAGCATATGCGACTGCTGTGCTCAAGTCTCGGGTTTGATTCCCGGGTTTGACCAAATGTTTGTGTGATTTATAAATATTTGTTTTGGAGTTTGGGTGTTTTCTATGTATAATATGTATGTATTTACAAAAAAAAGTATATCATTATTCTTTAAGTCAATCTAGCTATCGTACTTAGTACAATCTCTGCTTAGTTTGCAACTAGATGGCGTTGTGTGTTAGATGTCCGAATTTTTTATTGCTTTGAACCCAGTGAGTGATATTACCGGTGATCATCCTTATTCTGAGATGGGCCGAAACTGCGACAAGGCACTTTACTTTACTTTACTTTTAGGCGATTATTGAGCTGAGTACATGTTCATGGGCGCCTGTGGTTACTTACCATTACGTGACCCGTGAGCTCGATTGCTCCCTATACCATAAGATATAAATCTATATAGCTATGGTTGTTCCCTTGCAGGTACAGTCGTCACCCCTCCTGCCACAGCTGATAGTTACGGAGCGAACACAGCCGAAGGGAAAGAAGTCGGAGCTGGACGCGCGGAGTCACCTGCCGACTATTTGACTAGCGCCTCTCGCGCGTCCACACTTATAGCTCTTGCGTGATTAAATGGTTCTACTTATTCTTTCTGACTTATTTATTTAGTTTTTATTAAACTCATGACCGCAGGCAGTGTCGTGACTAGCGTTTTATGGCATCCAGTGCAAGCTTCTGGATGCCTCTACATCCATTAGGGTCTGCCTCCTATTAGGGTCTGCGCCCTGTGTCTACCGCTGGCACCAATATGTAATTACGACTCTGGACTACGGTTAACTCTGGCATATTGTAGGGGCGCTTGTAAAATCATAAAAAGGTGTTACAGAGGGGATTTTAACGGCAAAGGAATTGGAATCGGAACCAAAGTCAGGCTAAAGAGGTGTGGTTCTAAACCGACTTCAAAAACACAAAAGGAGGTTATCAATTCGTCTGTATTTTTTTCGTATGTTTGATACGCAATATCTTTGTCAATTGTGGACCGATTTTAATATGTTTTTTAAATGGTTAAGTTTAAATATAATAAATGTACATCAATTTAGGAAATGAAAAATCGTTTTTTTTATGATACTTCTGTTTTGGTTACATCAAGTGGAAGCCTCTTTTTGTTATCTTAATGCGGTCTTACCATTTCGGACTCGTGCTCACAGTAAATTGTCAGACTAGTTTATATAGTAACATGCAAAGACTAACGAAGTAGTAACATGCCATTTTTAAGTAGGTTTTAAACCGACTTCAAAAAGAAAATGAAAGTGGTTCTCAATGAGACTGATTATATATATGCTACGTGATATCTACGATATTAAAAAAATAATTGAAATGGTTGTGTCGATTAAATTCGAAGATTGCAAGGTTGGTCCTATTTAAATTAGAGAGAAAATATCCCTGCTCTAAGAAATGAAAATAATTAATAGATTAATAATACAGCTCAGAACATACGCTCAGAATCTAGAAATTGATCCTGAGCAATGTTTCGACGATCGAAGGCTTTTTGATGCTTGTTCGTAATAAAGGGATTTGACAATAGTAACTTCATCTTGTAAATGTAAGGTAAGGTCACCGAGACGTAATTCGACAGAAGATTTACCAGCGCCTGATCTATAATTCGCCTAAAATTATTATCTATCGCTCGTTTAGAAGATTGCAAGGTTGGTCCTATTTAAATTAGAGAGAAAATATCCCTGCTCTAAGAAATGAAAATAATTAATAGATTAATAATACAGCTCAGAACATACGCTCAGAATCTAGAAATTGATCCTGAGCAATGTTTCGACGATCGAAGGCTTTTTGATGCTTGTTCGTAATAAAGGGATTTGACAATAGTAACTTCATCTTGTAAATGTAAGGTAAGGTCACCGAGACGTAATTCGACAGAAGATTTACCAGCGCCTGATCTATAATTCGCCTAAAATTATTATCTATCGCTCGTTTAGAAGATTGCAAGGTTGGTCCTATTTAAATTAGAGAGAAAATATCCCTGCTCTAAGAAATGAAAATAATTAATAGATTAATAATACAGGTTATAACAATTTTATCGTGATCCAGTAACACAAGTCGGTAGTTCTCTTCTTAAAGCTTTAATATCTCACAAATATTTGCGTCTCCTTCAATGAAGCAGTTCTATTAACACTGTTTTCGGTTCACTACTTTGAATAATCTATTACAATTCAGATTTAGTAAAGAGTCAATGTTCTCAATGCCTAGGGCTAATATACCTACACAGAAACACGTGATGAGTTCTAGATCCGGGTTTTTTCCAAGTCGTCACCACTGGTTTCGTTCCCACTGTGTGATTTAAACATTTCTACATTTCTTATAGCTTCAATTCAAGTTTATCGAATCCGAAATCGAAGGTCTGAAATAAATCGGGACGTCCGATCCGTCCGAAAATAAGTTTGTCCCAACCCTGAAAGATTGGTTAATTACTAATACATTTTATTCAGTCAAAGACTTTTTGAATGGTAGAGAGTAGTAGGCAAAATTAACATGTTAAATTATAATCAATAAAGACTGATGAATAAAGACAAAAATAACTATACAAGTACCAGTATTTAATACATAAGTTATTTAAAAAAAGTGTTAAATTTGCATTCTATTCATGGCTAAATTGGCCTGTTCGCATTATATATTAAACCTGTAATACCACAATACTTACCATACCATTCATAGCAAGGATATAATTTGAATTCGATCTCTCGGAACCGAAGTCGAAAATCCGTAATACTTACATCAGTACGAAACCAATAAAAGACCCGAAGCAGCATTTATAATAGTTACAAAAACAATAGATACAGAAGACAAGTAGAAAGAGATTATGACAGTAATTTTCACTCTCCTCTGAGTCGCCTGTCAACTGTGAATATGAACCGCTTATGGACGCCTACAACTCGGGATCGGGAGTCACAAGCGCCGCTATTTACGTTATTAGACTCATACACTAAAAGTTATTTTATTAAACTACTATTACTGTCATCGTATCCGTAGTGTCCGTGTGGTCCTATTCATCGCGTGGGTGTCGTTAGAACCCTAAACCAACCCGTCTGGCCAGCGTGGAATACTTAGTAGGAAAAAACCTCCTTTCTAAGAAGAAGCCTAGGTACAGCAGTATGGTAAAGGCTGTTGATGATTACTGCCATCTATCGTGCAATAGCTGAACTAGAAACAAAAACGGTTAAAATCAATTACGGTTAGGTATGTAAGTTAAGGGTTAGGTGTGTACGTTTAAAATGTTTTCTTATCTTTAATTAAATTCTGATTTCACTGTCTACCAAAGCACAGGAAGTCAACAAGCATTATAATCAGAATATCTGTAGGATCAAAATTTTATATGACGAAAATCTGAATAAAATATGAAGAAAATCTTTTAAATAATTTTCTAATTTAAAGGCTCTAAATAGTTAATAGATACTGTTGCGAAATAAGAGTGAATTGTACTTGTTGTGTCTGGAGGGCAACGTCATCTAGTATCAAGTGGGGCACAACGCTACGCATTGAGATTATTGTTCTTAATTCCTTTTGCTTGCAGTGCCATCTAGTGCCCAATATCGGAAGATTACAGAAATTAGTAGATTGCGGTTTCTAGTGCAACACGAGTTATAAAATGATTTCTTGTTTGTAATAGTGAGTGTTTGTAAATACAATTCAATAAAAGTAATTAACCGACAACTTTTATTTATTGTATACCCCGCTCGTAACAATACAAACGTCCCGCTAGGGCCTAGTACCGTATGTATGGTCAATAGTGCATCCCACAGGACAGTGAAGAAACATTAGAAGTGCGATAAACGGTAAATCTGAAGTTCCTTGTCGCCTAGACACACACACATACACATAAACGATAAATAATATTTTACACACATAAAAAAGTTTACGCTAATTCGTCCCACAGGATTTATTGAATATAAATCTTAAACGCCACTTATATTACTAAATCTAAACGTTAAACCCTTCAAAATAAGAAAGTGGTTCACGCGACCAGTATTGTTCTAGAGGCGGTTCGGAAAGACACTATAGTGTAACTTGCCATTTATCGAAAACGAGAATAATTTAAAGAAAATTATTTATTTGACTGATACTCTGTCGAACATTACTATTCATGAACATGTTATTTATTCAATAACTATAAAACAGAAATAAATAATGTGATTGAAATAATAATGTATTTAAAATATTTATTGACCCTGAAATAAAATGTATTTATTGTATTATTTTTTATGTCTTTTTGTACATTGTAATTTATCAAAATAAAATACGTTTGAATATTTATGTATTTTTTAATATTGCGATGTCGAATGAATTAAAATAAGATTGGCCACATCAATTCCGGCGGTGGAAAAACTCACTCAGCTGCAGACAGTCCAAACTGGTCCTGACTGAAGTCACACCACAACTCACCTGCAGACCAATGAGTCTTAGCAGACTAGACATTCAAATAGTTGTAGGAACTATAACAGGACACCTAACCCTGAACCAACAACTGTTTACTATTAATGCGACGGACAGTCTTCTTTGCAGAGGATGTCTGAAAGCAGAAGAAACGGCTGACCACGTAAGCCTGGAATATGAGAGAGAGTGGCCACAATGAGTAAGTATCATAGCTGATACAAAATCGCCTTCTAAGCTTCTGGAAGGAGCTTGGTTGGCTCACCTAGCTAACATTTAAACTCCCGGACCCCTCCTATTTCACACCGTGTGGTTTTAGGTTCACCCGGCGGGGCGACTATAAAAAAAACTAACATTTCCACAACGCATCAAGGTCCATTCTTGAGTCTAAAAAGTGCAAACTGGAGCCCACAACCAATACTAATATCCAGCCTATATGTGCCAAAGCATGGCTTTGCCATGGTTATCTACCTGCTGTACATTTTCATAGTTCAACTACAACAACATCATCTTGCAATACTGTCTTGTGTATATTTTCTTGAAATACTAGTTCAAACTAATTAAAACTAGAACAATATTTTGTACAAGTTTATTCTAGTATAACATTTTTATTCTATTTTTACATTTTACCTTAAATTTGAATAAATTGCTGAAAATCCTCTTACGGTAAGCATCGAAGTAGATTTCATTCTTTTTTGAAGCTCAAATTTTGGAGAGACTGAAAACAAAAATAGTTTTGGTTCGATAGAAATTTTAAACAAACAAGTCGTCATGGTGACGGCATTCAGCGTTGTGATTAGCCTGAACAATACTCTTTACTAACCACATCACTGAATGTGGTCACTGTGTCGATCGAGTCCATATGAAATAAACTTACACCAGGCCCTCAGGTGGATAATGCAGGTGATAATTTTATGACAACAGAAGTGAAAAACCTAGTTGTATAGAGATGTGACTACATTCAGAGAATGTTGTGTATGAGCATACTAGAGATTCTTTATTTTTACTTTTGTTTTATTTACTTACTTATTTCACTTACATTGTTTAAAGCATCAGAAACACATTGTAATAATTATAACTCAGGATTTATTAATACTACTAGAGTCAGTACCGTAAAGTAAGTAAATTAAAATAATTCATATTAAACAATGACACATTATGTATTTCACAATTCAATTTGCAGAACAAGCAAAAAATAATTAAGTTTTATCATTAATGTGTGATATATACAAGTCTTATACCTAAATCTTTTAAAGGCTAATAGAAGACAGACAAAATAGGAACACAATAGCTGTCATCAGGGTTATAAAACAGACTAAAGCAGAGTTAATGATAAATAAATGTTATATGACTGATTAATTTATGAAATGAAATGATTGTTTAATAATAAATAAAACAATGAAATTAAATAAATTTCTGGGAAATTACTCTTGTCACCGGCAGTTTATTCCTGTCTTGAGGAGACACTAGAGAATCCACATGCTGCAATTTGTACCAAGTATAGTGGGCACCTATCAACATCGGCACCATAACAATAACAATTAAATTCCTGGAAATGAACGATGGTTGTTTCATTGCTATTAATTCTTTATTCTGGATTTTGAAGCTACGCTTTTCCTATTTTTCTTACTGATAATCTTTATTTGATTTGTATGGTGTTATTTATTTAAGAAGTTACTACGCTTTTATTGCGTGCTTGAAAGAAGATGCTTTTAAATATGGTCGTATTATAAAAACAAAAACATATGTCAGTCAGCTGTCAGCTTACCTTACGTTCATAATCAGTGTAGAAAAAAATATTACAAGAAACAAAAATACAATCATGCTTTAAAATAATATCATTTTATCGATTATAATAAATAATTGAGATTTTTGATCAATGATTTTTTGTATTTAAGATTCATTTTTAACACTATATTTGAATGAATGATGGAGACGCATAGGACGAAAACCAGGTATTCGAATTTACTTTTTGCGTTTTGTTTCATTTTTAAAATGTCATTAATTAGTATTTTAAACAACGACACTATACTTTTTGTTTAATACTTTTATTCTAATTATCTTCTTTCTAAATGGGTAGAATCAATATAAATGAAACGTAGTTGCTCTGTGATCCATTTACATAGTTTTGTTTACATTTTACATCACACATTTTATGTCACATAACAGTCTACAGAGGTGAATGTTGGATTGAGCCAATCATGAAGCGGTATGTGAGCAACTTGACACATTCATTAATTTGACGTATACTAAGGAAAACTGGCCACAAAAACATGGTGGCAGCTCGGTGAGGAGGGTGAACTTTTCGACTAGTCATAAAAATTAAAGGGGCTTATTTGGCAGGAGTGTTTGATACAATTTGTGAGTACATTCGCAACAGCCATTGACTACGAAAACCAAGGAAATTAATAATTTAAGTGTACATTTCTAGGTAAACACCGTATAATAAGCTTCACACAAAATCCAGGATGACGTCTGAAGAAACTCCGATATCTGAACAACTGAAGGGTTGTTATGAGAATCTTATTGTAATCGACATTGGCGCTAACTTGACAAACAAGAAATACGGCCGTGATCTCGATTCTGTTGTGCAAAGGGCAAAAGATGCAGGTTAGTATATTTTTAATTATTAAAAACTCATAGAGGTTGCGTGCATTGACCAAATAATTTGTTGTTGCGGTTATGACAGAGTACTCCAATTTATTCGTATAAAATGATTGCAAGTTGAATTCCTAACAAGTTATTAGGTTATGGTTGTGCTTCTTTTGTTTTGAATTTTTTTATGTGTGCTATCAAATGTAATTGTTAGGTTTGAATTCATAAAAGTGTCAATATTCCTATTAAAATTGTTAAGTCCAGCTCAATTATTTAATTGTATTCTATTTTATTTTCAATATAGTTTTTTTTAAACAAGTTATGTGATTTAATTATTGAAATTAATAGTACTTTTATTAGTTAAACTCTTTTCTAAGAAAACTATAATATTGGTTTTTATTATATTTTTATCTAGCAATTTATTATCAGGGCTTAAAGCATTAATAATTGTAATATATATTATAAATGAAAAATATATTTTGTATGATAAAAATAATTTTAAATAGATAATTATTAAAAAAAATCATAATTACATGTACATTTTATTACTTGTAGATACATAACTTAAGCCAATTTAATTAAGGTACGAAAATTATTTTTGTTTTTTTATTAAGTTACAACATAATTTCAATATCGTAGCGATACACATAGTTATAGTATCTACATATTTCAACAGAAATGCTTAGTGTTAATTAGCGAGTAAATATAATTAATTAATGATGCACAAACAACTTTACTGAAAATCATTTATAGATAACCCTATCATTAATAAAGATAACTAATCTAATCTTTTTGACCCCTGAATCATTCATCACCTACCTACCTGTTTAGTAAACAGGTGATGAATGTAATGTTATGAAATTAAGGAACAGTTTATGTACGACTAGCATTTGACTGCAGACTAGAAGAGATTCAGCTTAGTATTCAACAGGGGGTGGTCTCATACATGGGTAGGGAAAATCTCTTTTGTATGTACATACATACATTACTCATGCATCATTCTTGGTGGGCAAAGGAGATAGAATGCCATTTGCGAATAGAAAAGTTGTGATAGGATGCAGTGTGAGTGAGGTCACAGTGGGCACAAATCCCCCCTATATTTTGGGGGAGAGTCAATAGTTTGCCTAACTTGTGTAATCTAAGTCTTTCCACAGTAGTATTAGTGGTGGGCTCTGTTAGATTAAAAAAAAACTCCTTAATAGGTGTGTCTAGGTGAGCTGACCAATCTCTTTCCTTCTAGGCTTCTAGGAGCGATTTTGTATTAGGTATGATACTAGCCTGTTGAAGGGGCAACCTCCTCGCATACCAGGATTATGTGCGGGAGGGTTTGCGTTCCGTTTCTTCTGCTTTGAGATACCCTCTGCAAAGAGGACTTCCAACCCAAAAAAAGATAGTCTTTTGGTTACTAAGTATAAAATTGTTTTATCGAGTAATTTATATTTCTGTTGTGCCGCATAGGGATACTATTCCCGATTAGAACATTAAAGTCATCAGTTTGCGGTCATATACACAATGCGTCACACACATGTGACGCACAATGCGAAGAACAAACAATAAATTCATACTACTATTATAAATCTAAAATGAATATATATTAGAAGTAAAAACGTTTGCCCATAAGAGTATATTCCGCATGGTTTACGCGTTTAAATAACAACTCTTCTTCAAATAAATAAATTTCAATATTGTAACAGTTGACTGCACGGATTGCGTAGTGGTTGAAGCGGTCACCTCGCCGCTTACTACTGCGCTGAGTGTTGTGGGTTCGATCTCCACACGGGACAACACTTTGTGTGATCTACAAATTATGGTTCCGAGTCTCGGTGTTCCTTATGTCCGTTTCCATGTATGTTTGTAAAGTCCGCTGCGACACAGGATATATTCCTAGTGCGGGAGTTGTTTTTTTTATTTAAAATAAGTATTGAATGACAATTCCTTAGAAAATTGTCATGTATAGGTATGACTGAGACAATCACCGGAATATGTTACACCTAATTTATATTCAACATAACGAACTAAAATCAACATCATCACCACTTCATCACCAAATTAGTATCTTCCATTGTCATTTTTGTAACATAGTATTTACATATAACGGGGTGACGCTACATGCTGAGATACAGGTTTATAACCTAGTTCGGCTGTAGACACGCCAATCACTCGTGACATGTAATAGAACGTCTTCGACTTTAAGTACCCACTTCTGCCATTGTATAAAACTTGTGAAGAGCTTCTCAATAAATTATTATTATTATTATCACACACGTCAACATGTTATTAATACGTCGTGTAATTCCCGCAGGTGTCCAAAAGATCATGGTTACAGGCACATCTGTTAGGAACAGTAAAGAAGCCCTGAGACTGACCCGCCTCTATCCCAGCACTATATACTCCACAGCCGGTAAGTTTATTCCTCTAATTACATTAATAAAATTATACTATTCTGTTATTCCTAAAGTTTGGCTTAATGTTTGTTACTGTGTCACGCCAAAACTGGATGAAATTTAGAATGTATACTATTTAATATTATTATTTTATTTAATATATAGTAGTCGACATTAATGAAAATGAAGTCGCGGTTAAATGTAGTAACTCATACATGACATGCCATTACGTTTTAGACGAAAGCTGTGGTCTCGTTTTTTGGCGTATGAAAGAGATTTAGTTTGTTGTATAATAATTTAATCGGTTAGCCGTTAGCATTTCTAACAATGATATTTCAATGTACGTGCCTTTTTCAAAAAATATACTTAGCACCATCTAGTGAAAACAATCCAAACATCGCACAGCAGTTGCAGCAGAGCCTGTACTATGGTAACCATTACTGATAAACATACTCATATATTTTTTTAAACATACATATTATAGAAAAAATACAACCAGACACAAAACAAGTGATCATGCTCATCACACAATTGTTTGCCCTGGGTGGGAATCGAACCCGCGACCTCTAGCCTAGAGGTCAGGATCACTAACAACTAGACCAACATTATGCCTGTTACATGCTCAAATAGAAAAGGCTCACTTAAACCTTCTTAGTCATTCAAATTTCAGTCTTAAATTAATGAGGCTATGATTTAAAATAATGCATTAAGAACCATCGACACTAATGCGTAAGTAATCGACAATAACCGTTATCACTTATTGTACTGCTTAATTAACACAGCAGTGAGCCGAGCATTAAATTCTCATTAGGGAAATAATCCTCTATTCAAGTAATTAGTGCCTAATTCATCAAAAAAATGAAAGCATATTTTGTCACTGAATGATATGTTATAATAAAGTCGTTAAAGTGTTCGAAAGACCAACTGTTAATATTTGTTTGGTGGTATAATTAAATTGCACGGATGGACGGTTTAAGCGTTCACCTCGCTGCTTCCTACTGCGCTGAGAGTTGTGGGTTTGATCCACATATGGGACAGCACTTTGTGTGATCCTCCAATTGTTGTTCTGAGTCTGGGTGTTCTTTGTGTGCGTTTCATGTATGTTTGTAAAGTCCCCTGCGACACAGGATAAAATTGCTAGTGCGGAAGTTGTCAAGCTCACAGCAAACGTTTAAAAAGTATAACAGAGTTCAATGCGAAAACATGATTAATTGAAAAAAACTATATTTTTAATTTTCGAATTTTCGTTCGATTTGTTTTTGTTAGAATTTGAATGGGACCAAACAGGCAGTGTACCTACCCTCCCAAATCAAAAAAAAAGTATTTCCTAATCGGTTCATATATCACGAAGTTCTGCATCTAAACAAATACAACCCAATAAGAGAACCTCTTTCTTTTTGGAAGTCGGTTAAAATGTCAAACTTTAGAAGAAGTAACACAAACTCTAGTAACTAAACGTTTTGATTCGTATGGTTATCTAATGCAACTTAACTTTGTTTTAAATTTGTTTTTTCGTCTGAAAGAACAAATTCTTTGAAACAAATTTAGCTCATTGTGTAAATTAAGTAATCTGTATAGAACTTTGAGGCAATTTCAACTGTATGCCTAGAGTTTTTATAATGAACTTATCATTATAAAAGCCAAACAGTCCACACACCTGCCTTTTATTTGGAGAAGTCCTGAAATCCTACACATTGGGTAATTCTTTGATCTAAGTAGATTTAATCAAACTTCGGTCATTTATTAAGCTTGAATACACGTGAATTTATAGATATTTGTAAGAAAAAAATCAAAGAGTTGTCTTAAAAAATATTTTTATGTCTATGGCGAACCAAAAACTAGGAGCGCCTAAAATCAATCTATCGTCCTTCGGTAAAAGATTTCTTTTGGTTTATTCCAAACTTCTTTTTCTGGATCTACTCTATGTGGATCGTTCACATTGAGAATGAGTAATATATAGTCTGTTAAAACAGTCTTATTTTAGGCAGCGGACTTTTTACGTGCAAAAGCAAAAAAGGGGACTATTTTTGACCCAAGTTTCTAGCTTATTAGCCATTTATGTTTTTGCGACACACTAGGCGTTTAATTTGAACATATTTTTGTGACGTCTTTATCTCTATATCGGCGGAAAATAACATAGTGTTCTATGCTGAAGATCAAGCACATACTAGTTGCGTAATCTTGCTGCACAGTTCTATTATTATGAAACATGTACTTTCGCTTTTAAAGTAATAAATATTATTCCGTGCAATCTTAACAATTGACCCTGTTTCACATGCTTTTGGTAAAAACCTTGATTTGAATATTGACTGTCTGATGTGAAAGAAATAAAATAAGTGGGAAATATATGGCGATTGGTGTAAATATCGTCTTCGCTTGTGCAGCAGGTTTTGTTTTGTGGATTTGTTGGTTACGATATGATCTTGTCTGTAGGCATCTACAGACAAGATCATACCGTGACTAAGTGCTGACGATTTAGTTGCTATTGGAGACCTTTGGCGTTACTGACATTTTAAATGCGAATTTGAAGAATATCTGCATTTTTTTAAATCTTAGCCAGTTGGGGAATTTTTGAGGATACCTCTTAAGCTAATTTGTAGCTTTATCTGCGTCTCCGTTAGCATCGTTAGTTATAGACAAATAAAAACTGTGTTTTTAAACGCAATTCCTAATTTTTCAGCGCTATACTTATTAACATTGATAAACGTTACCCGAAGCGGAAAAAACTAACATTTATTCATATTCGAGTTAGCTATCTTCATCACGTCGACGGACAAATGCACAAAAACGACGAATGTTTTGTGACATAGGGAAGTTTTTCTGTCTTATTCAAATTTGAAGAACAAAATTCCACCCCTAAAAGAGATTAATTAAAGATGAGGAATATATTTTATCACAATTCATCATGATATAAAAATAATCATAATAACTTCGCACATCGCACACGGCTGTCTCATCCCAAACTGGGCAGAGCCTTTTTTTTTTTTTTTTTTTTTTTTTTCCCGTGCGGAAATCCCCTCGGATACCACCTGTCGGTGGCATGTCGGACTCGAACCGACTAAAACCGCACGCCTTCGCCGGGTACTAATAGCCGGGGAACCAGGTATACCCTAGAAAGGAAGTCCCTGGTGCCCCGACATACCTCGGGTCATCTACAGACGAGTAGACGACCCCCCTCCGTGTGGGAACCCCATGTTCCCTGTGCTCCCTGGAAGCGAGCGCGCTTCGCAACGCGCTCGCCGCCACCCCGGCCTGCTTCTGCTAGGGTGACAGATGGCCTCACCTGTCACCCCCAGGCCTGCGCTTATGGAGGACGGAGGTCGTTCTGCGACCTCCGGCGCCTGAGTCGTCTGCGCTGCCTGGCCCGTGCCCGGGCCTGGCGGGCCGGGAGAGTTCTAAACCTCTCCCGGTCCCGCTCCGCCGTCTCCTTCGCGAGCATAACTTGCTCGCAGAAGGAGACGGCAGAGTTCCACGCACTCTCGCTCCGCACGATAGCCGCAATCAGGCTATCGAGCGAGAGAACTCCCACTCCGATGGCCGCCACGAGGTCTCGCCTCTGCTCAACCCACGCCGGGCACTCTGCCAGCGTGTGGAGAGCCGTGTCCACGGTCTGGCCATCGCAGTGGTGGCACTCAGGCGTTGGCTCCTTGCGGATCAGACACAGGTGATCTTCGAAACATCCCTTCCCAGTGATCACCTGCGTCAATCGGTATGAGAGGGTCCCGTGACGCCTCTCGAGCCAATCTTCCATAACGGGTCTTACCGCCGCAATGACGGCGTGCCCGAACTGGGCAGAGCCTGCACTATGGTAACCAGGCTGCTGATAAACATACTTATATATTTATAAATACATACATATTGTAAAATAATTACATACAGGCACAGAACAATATTCATTGTGCTCATCACACAATTATTTGTGGTTGTCGAACTCAAGATATGGGTATGGTATGGTATCCAGACGGCTTTTTAAAAGCTAATTATGTGAAATTGTAATTAAACTAAACTAACATTCCGTGTGGTGACGGATTAAGAATACCCCCTACGAGTGTCACCACCTCTATTCATCCCTTGGGTATCGTAAGAGGCGACTAAGTGAGCAAACTACGCAGGACAACAGCACTACAAAGAGAAGGAAAATTTGACACAAAGCCTTTCTTTTTACGTGTAAAAATCCTCTCCGGCCGTCTCACAAATCCTATACCAAGCCATCTGGCCAGCGTGCTGTAGTAGGCCAAAACCTCATTTCTAAGCAGAGGCCTATGTCCAGTAGTGGACTACTAAAAGCCTGTTGATGATGAAACTAATAAATTGCTATTTCAATATCGACTATGTCCAATCAACAGATTTGTATGAAACTTTTTAACACTTTTATGTTCAGCGACTTTCATTATTGTTTGTAAGACTTACCTTGAAAAATGTGTAGGTTAGTAATTCGTCTAAAGTGTATTACCGTGTTTTTAGCGTTATAAGTTTCCGTTCTATGCAGGAACCGTGTTATGAGGTGAAAATAATATCAGAACTGACCCAGATGTTCCGTAGAATAACAAGCATATATGTACAAACTTACCTTGCGCTTCAACATTCAAATATTTAAATAATTGTGCGCAAAATAAACTAATTGCCCTACTTTTGCTCGTAATTGTGTTTTGTAACTCTCTCTTCGTGAGTTATGCACGTACGTTTATGGTAATAAATTGTTTCTGTCATGTGGTGTATGATTACAAGGAATTTTTATGGCTAGCTACTGACAAATTGCAATAATCTTCATTTTCTAGGGATGTATTCGTACCTAACAATATTTCTGGGGTTAACAGGGATTATATGTAAATCCATTCTTAGATTATAAACGTAAAAGTGAGTTGGTTTTTTGTAACGCCTAAACCACTTAACAGATTTTAAAAATTCTTTCACCAATAGTAACCTTCATTATCAGCTAGTAATACACAATTTTTAACGCGATACCGACATATACGCGGGCGGAGCCGCAGTCAAATAGTAGTTAATAATATGAATTATACATCCGACATCTTGAGATCAACAGGCAGTTATTAATTTGTATTTAGAACACATTTATTTTTGCTAAGTTTTTGAAATAAACTCAGGAATCTCCTGTATAAATCCTTTACTTATGGTATAACTCATTTTTTTTACCGGACCAGACTAAATCTTAGCAAAAAGCCATTAGACAGTTAATGTTCTTTATCACGTGTTAGTATATCGTGTGCCACTGTAGTAAATTAATAATAACCTTCATACGTATAAATCAATTCTGATCACATTAGTAGCGGATTGTATAACTATTTATTTGCAGGGGCATATAGAGTGCCGTGCTGGTATTAAATGATTACAAAATGTATGTGAACTCAGTTAGCAGGTACATTATGCATGTCTCCTTATCAATAGAAATCAATATTTGTTTCTTGGATCGTGTTATGTGCTTAGCCATACTCTTCATTCGATCGTCTTTTTATTTTTTCTACCCTTTGCTAGGTTACAACTAATTTTATTTAGCTCAACTTACATTCGAGACTCATTGGTGTTATTAATAGTTACGTGTATGTAAGTAGTTATATATTTAAATGACACCTTCCAAAAAAGAAAAAAAGCCGTTATCACAGGAATAATAATCCATTGAGTTATTTTGTGGTACTCTCTCTGTTACTTTTAAAACGTCCTAAAAATCAAAATAATCGTATTAACTAGGGACACAAATATCTTTATTATCTAGGGACTGTTTAATTTTAACACGACTTTATTTTTAACTCGCTAATAACCAAATCTTGGAATACAATAATTCTTGATAATGAACTAAGGAAGTCGGTAGTGGTCATATTTTTAATTAAAGTATGAAAATAAAGCCGAAATAGGACAAAAGCTCCTCAAAAAGTTTTTGACCTTATGCGGTATTTATTAATTTGTTTTCGGTGAAATGTTCTATTTACTCATTGTGACATCATTTTTAACCAAAAAAATGCAAAAAATGCAAAAAATAAATTGATGTTTTTTCTGGCAGAAAATTCCAATGATTATCGACTCAAAATCATGGTCTGAATACACTATTTCAGTATTCGTTACGATGTCCCTTACACCCTGTATATAGTACTGACTCGGCCTAGTTTGGGATCTGACGACCGTGTATAAGATGTGTCAAGTTACAATATGTACTTACCCAAAAAAAGAAACAATAACCGAAATAAAAGGAAAACAAAAAGACAAAACAATGTGTTATATTGAGTAATTATATTATATTGTTTTGTATGCGAATTATAAAGAAAAGATATCATAAAAAGTTTTTCAGGAATAGTTTAGTTAACTAAGCAAGTTTTAAAGCTGACCGGTGAGGACGAAGTAGTTTATTAACCCCACATCTATTATTATAAATATCTCATACAATCATTTGATAAGCACTTTTATCTAATATATTTAGCACTATGTACGACAAAGTTTACAAAGACATGATATTTTGCAATGATTGTGTTGTAAACAAAATGTAGGTGCACATTCATTAGCAACGTGTTATAGTTTATTTGTTGATTTTGGATGCAAATATTTTTAGTCATTCAGATCTTTGGTATTCTAATCGTATATTTATAGATTTTTGTCACGTCAACTCTACCTTTCGAAATAATTGCTAAATGGAAAGTAATTTGACTTGTGACAATTTGTAAGCAGTTTTTTCAATTTGTTTATTTATAAACGAAAAAAATAGTCAAATGTAACTATTTTTTTTCGTTTAAAATAAATATAATTGAATGTGTTAATCTTCAAATAACTTGTTTTTTGTTCTATGATGTCTTGGTTTGATTCCCAGGTCAAGAAAATAAGATTGGGTTCTTCTGTTACGATATTGTCAGTAGGCGCATAGGATTAACTGTTAAAGCCATTATTTCATAACTTTGGTCTTCTACCCTTTTGTGTCAGCAGTGATAGTATTTTTTTTTGTTTAATTTTTTTTAAAAGACAACGAAAAAAAGTATAAATTGATAATAATAAAGCACACGCTGTAAAAAATAATTTCACGTCACTTATTACTTTCTAAGAAATAAGGCCTAAAATTCAACCTTAAGAAACTGATATGGGATATCTGTCGCAGGCGTCCACCCACACGATGCTAAGTCAATGATAGAAGAGGATATGTGGGGTGAGCTCCACGAAATAGCAGCTGCACCGGAGTGTGTTGCGGTCGGCGAGTGTGGCCTGAACTACAGCAAGGACTTCTCAGAGCCGCACGTGCAGCGCGACGTATTCAAACGACAGGTAACATACCCACAAGTGCACACACACACACACACGCACACAAACACACACACGCACACAAACACACACACACGCACGCATGGTGAGGAATATGCTATCTAGAGAATAATTTTGTTTTCAGTCAAATATGATTTTTCCAAAAGCACTCCTATTTCTCAATAGTGGTGAATACATAGAAAATATTATCATCAACCTTTAATAGTCCACTGCTGGACATAGGCCTCTCCTTAGAAAGGAGGTTTTGGCCTACTATATTTTCACCAGGGCCTATAAAAGATATGAGACATGAAATGTGTAGCATCGATCAAAATCTACAAAGTACGGCCTTTTTGATTACACATCGCTGTTTTCCAATCCTTTTACCTCAATAAACATATAAATAAACAATCGTCTATGTGGATACCTGAAAGGGCCGCTTATTAATCAAGGTGTGTAGCCGGCTTCTTGCGTTGGTGTCAGTCAGTCAGTTAATTGATCCGGGGTCAAGCGACTGACTGATCAATTTCACTGACGTTCAATATCTATATGGTTTGTGATATCTGAATATTTTTTTATGAATAAAAACTAAACGCCATAACAGTTATAACAACTTACCACATAAATATTAGTTTCATTTTAAATCTTAACCGGTTGTTACTGTACGTACGTAACCGAAGTTCTTAGACGGCTACGAGCCGACAGCTATTCACCTATTAACATTCTATTACAAGTTCGTATGTAGAAAAGCCCGATTGGCACTGAGCCAAACATTAACTGAGATATTTGGCGTTCAGTCTTTTGTTTTAAACAATTAATACTATATCAAGTCTAAGCTTACAACTTCAAGAAACAGGCAGTTTAACTCGAACTGAGTGATAGCGTCACGGCTTCACAAGAAACTGGTGGTGAGCAATTCTTTCGTAGCTTGTACCGAGTGAGTGAGTTCACAGGAGAAAACATCGTTGCAGCTTGAGTAAAATATAGGGTGGTATTTGATTAAAAGAGGGATAACCTTTTTGTTTCGTTCTCGGCAACGGCAACGTGAATGCCATAGCTGTCAGCCTCGTCAATAGCGCTCGTAGAACACATCGCTCTATTCTCGTCTTTGGTTTAGTTAGATTTTTTTTATTTGAAGAGAAGAGAAGCAAAGAGAAGTCTTTTTAAAAAAATCTTTCGCGAGGAACTCTTTTTAGTAGAGTAAGATTATGTAAATTAGCGATAAAGATAATCTCTCCTCTACTAATACCGTAATTTGCAATTGTAGGAGTCAGTATTCATAACTAGCTTGAATCTTCGATATTCTTTAGGTCTTTCATTTCTCTGTTCAAAGGAGATATGCGTACCTAAACAAAAAGATTATGTTTATAAATATACATCTGTTCAAAGACATCATAATTTAAATACAGCATGTTATACATTCAACAAATTCCTGTCCCACAATAGCACTCCAGTTTATTTAGCTATTCACTATAACGAGTATAAAAAGAAACAAGTTGAATACTTCTTGGGACGCATCTCATAAGGCACGTTCCAGAACGGATGCTCATATCCGTTTTCATATTTGAATGCACGTTCGTAAATCTGTTGTGTTAAATGTATGTACATTACTTGGGTGTTATGAAATATATTGTTCTAAGATGTTACTTTTAAAGACATTTTTATTAGGTCGATGTTGACGTCGAAAGCGGTATAGTGGCGGTTTTAATTCTTCTTTTATATCATTGGCCATTACGTTGCAAAAAGGTTTTGCTGTCATTTACTTTTTAGTATGAATGTACGCTTTATACGGATTCATTACCATTTTTCACGCAATGTGCACATGACGAAAGGGTTTGGATGGGTTTCTGTTATGATCGGCTGGTTGCTTGACTGCTGCAACTTTGCTGGGTTAAAGAAAATAGACAGCAAGAAGGGACTAGGGCTAGGAATATCCCAAAGTCTCGGTCGAGATGACAAAACTGAGGCTCTAGCGGGTCGCGGTCTTAATATAGCTGTTCCCTGATCCCTACTATTTCGGGCGCAGAGTAGTACACCGTATGGTTTTTTAGTGGGTCCGATTCGAAAGGGGTCGCAATTTGATCTGACAATAAAAATACCACTCGATTGGGAATTGACCATTGACAAATATAAGCAGCATTCAAGAGTGAAGTAAAATCAGTAAATATAGCCGGCGACCTTGTAAACTACTCCAATTAACCAACCTTTTTGAACATATTAAATCATCATTGTTCATGAAAAAATTACGTTCATTTCCACTTGAATAACATTTGCATTATCAATTTGAGCTGGGGTTAAATTCGTTTAGTGCAGACGTCTACGTCACTTCTAAGGTGGATGAGTAACAGTAGGTTTATTGAGTTTAATACTTATATCATTTAAAGTTCACGCCTAATCCGTTTTGCGATAACAATATAATAGAAATTGCTTGAAAATATTTTGCTATATTCTGTAAATAGTAAACAACCGAACATGTAAAATGACCAATGGCAGGGCTTTTTGAAATTACCATAATAGGTCAAAATATCTACTGTGCACTATAGTTTTAAATTTCTTAAAAATGTTAACAGTTTCCCACATATTGTTTAGTAGATATTTTATACTTCTACATAAAAAAATAAGTAGGTATTTCAAACATATGTTTCCTATATTTGTTTAAAAAAGAGCTAAAAAGGAATGCATTACATCATCAATGTCAGAACATACAACAACACTGTATTTAACAGCTGCTGCAGCTGATAAAGAGCTGAATCAGTCTGTATGCCATTTTAACGTATTTTTTTTGCATTATCGACTTTTAGATCTTTTTCAATTACCTTAATTAACTTCTCTCATCGAATTTGCTACTAATAGTTTATACGTATAAATAAATGTAGACCTAATGCTTGTTTGTAAGCATTCGTTACAGACTTACTGCTGTTATTGCTCTGCACATTGTCACCGGTTTAATTTGGGCTGCTCCCGTTTTGCAATGTTCAAGTTCTGAGTCAGGTGCAGTCTAGATCTAATTTTAGCATGATTTTGCAAACTTATTTGTGTCTTCCGCTGGTCTGATATAATCAAGCTACCAAATGTTATTTGCAGTTTGTTAGGATATTGTGTGTCGCGGCAAAGATTTTACAACAATCATATGAAAATATAAAAATTCCTTAATTTTAGTTTCATTACTTTACACCAAAGATCTTGTCTTAATTTCTTGTGATTTAAAAGTATTTGCATTTAATCTAATTTTTATATTTTAAGTAAAAGTTACTGGTAGCTTATAACCACACGATATTATGGCATCTTCCATATATAACGAACGAAATAAAACTTCAATGCCATTGCGAAGGCATACCGATCTGTGGAGTGATTACTAATTCTGTGACGCGCAATGAAACCTTTCGCGCCAGCTTATGTGAACAATAAAAAATACCCTTTGTTGGGATATGCATATTTGTTGGATGTGCATGTTTAGTTTTGTGCGAGCTATTCTGGAGAAGGTTTTTCTTTCTAAGGAGAGGGCTATGTCCAGCAGTGGACTATTAAAGGCTGTTGATGTGTGATGATGTGATTCTGGAGAAACGGGACTGAGGCTTAGTAGCTCCAAGTGACGGGGTCGTGCGTATGTCTGTCTGTCCATCCGGCTAACCGTCCTGGTAACTTCAAGACTCGTTCACAGTTGAATTTCCCACTCCGAAACCACTAAAACCTTGGTTTAGGTTCTCAAGGCTGAAGATACAAATTAAACGACTAAATTGCTCTCATTTTTTATTCAAACAGCTTGAACGTAAATCATCCTTTAGTCCGCCGTGACTTACAATAAAAAGATGCGGGCGGATGAAGTTCATCGCATCACACAATACAAGATCAATTGACATACTGTTTGGGTCATTTATCACACTTATACTTCTGTTAAACCAGAATCAACGGCAACAAAGCTTTCAAAACCATATATGGTATTTTAATCATAACCATATATGGTTTTTTATAATTTTGAGATGTTAATATTGCTTCCTATTGCAAAAAGCTTCCCTCTCGCCAAAATAATTTTAAAAGATTCTTTGCTGTTTACAACACGAACTAGATATCTTCCAAGTATTAGCTAGTATCAAAATAGGTTATATTATAGGCAAAAACTTAGTAGTAATAGGATTTCAAAATATTTAAAAAAATATTTTAAGCATTATTTAATATTTCAGTATACAGCCGAATAAGAAGCCCTATGGAAATAAAAGGAATTTTCCTTCACTACTTTCGGGCTATCAGCCATAAAAGATGTCAGTTCAATTGCTATTATTGTCATTGTTCGTTAATTAAAAGTGTATTGTTCTTAATTAGTATGTATTAGTTGATAAAAAACAATTGTCACTGATAAATTTGTTGTTGTCGAAACTCGATACGGTATGTTAATGAACTCAATGAATGCAATGACGATTGCTACATATATGTTATGGTTTTTTAATTAAATTTTATTATTAGAAAGGTTATAAAATTCGTCAAAATATTCCAGTCAATAATAATATTTTAACACATCTCAAACATGGACGTCTGATCCCAAACTAGGCAGAGCCTATACTATGGTAACCAGGTTGCTGATAAACACATATATTTCTAAATACATACATATTATAGATATTATACAAAGAACAAATGATCGTACTCACCAAAGAACTATTTTTGTAGATTATTAATTAATAAAAGCTTTAGTCAAGAGCAGATTGCGTCAATAAGCAACCGCAATTATTAATTTAGAAAGTATTAACTCAGCGTTATGGGAGTTCTATTAAATCTCAAACCTTACTGGGTAACACTCCTCTGAATAATTAACGAGCCTATTGCCGTCCACTGCTGGGCGTAGGGCTCTCACAAACGTGAGTCATGACACCCAGTTCCCTGTTTTCCATACCAAACTACAGCCATCTTCCTCAAGTCGTAAGTTAATCTGATTGGGGCGCTTGTACCTTTACTTACTGATCCGCGAATATATTATTGCTTTTTCGATTAGCCTACCACTTTTTATTTGTCTTACTTGTAAAACAAAC